CTGTTTGCTTTCTTCCACTTATCCAGTTCAGGGTCTCAGGCTGGCTGGTGTGTCGAGGGGGTGTTGGAGCCTATTCCTGTCGTAGGGTGAAAGGTGGGGTGCACCCCAGGCAGGCTAGTCTACCACAGAGCTACCACAGAAAGACTCAGTCTCTGGACTGCAGGAAGAAGACATGGAAAAACCAACCACACACACCAGACCTGTGGTTAGCCAAGTGCAAGCCTCCTGCTGTGATGGAAAGATTGGCAGACTGCAGAGACTCCCTGCAAGGATGATCAGCATCCTCAAAGAGCTTAGTGAGGACAGGAATATTTAGATTTTCACCTGACCATTTCCATTTTTTCCTAAAGAATATGAACGTTTCATTTGAGATTAATGTGCCTTTAACCTGACCCCGTCAGAATGCAGTATTATTAAAATTGTTATTTATCTGTACATTAAATAAATAATGTTGCATAGCAGGCAGAGAGCTGAGACCTCCATACTGATAAAAGGTTACAGGCCCTCAGAGCACACAGGGATGTTTCTGCTGATTCCTTTCTCTTCCTCCCTGTTATTGTCCTCTGAAGTTTGAAGTAACCACGTTACTATATGGTCCATTTTACTGGGCCATAACTGTAATTATGCAGTGATGCTAGGACTTGGAAGAAAGAAGGACATGTGGACACAGCAGGAAACTGTCAGGCCAGGAAACCGAGAAACTAAAAAAAATGAACATTTTGTAAATAAAACCTCATTACAAGCACACTGAGTGTCTCAGGTCCTTAATGGGGTCACAATAACAAATTATGTTTTTTACTTTAATATTTGAGAGACACAATAGTTTTAAGTAAAAACAGACTGGAAGGCATTATAGCATATGTACATTTTATTTGAATGATTTTGAGGATTTCAGCTTTTGAAGTTTTTACAATGAATATTAAATCACTGATAGTGCACTTTTTCATTTAGATTATTATGATTATGATTATGATTATCATTACTACTATTATCATTACTATTAATACTACTGCTGTCACAGTGTATGCTTTTAGGAAGAATGTCAGTTTGTTATGAATGTTGGAAATGTTATTCAGGGAGGGCAGATTGTGTTATTTTGTTGGTGTTGTGATCCTGTTTTATGAAAAACAAGGACGGTAAAATAAAGACATGTTTGTGCTTCAACAAACAAGAACGTAATGAATCTAATCTGACTGTGCATCGCATGTAAAGAACCCCTCATAACTAATGAATAGATTTTTTTAAAAACTTCATCAGGGTGTGAATAATGACTTTTCCCAACATGGTGGTCAATACAAGTGCTACATTTCTCATCTGTTCCTCTGACATGTTACTGTCCACATTGTTGTCCTGACACCTCCATCCATGACTGCATCAGGTATGTTTACTATCACTCCCCACTTTCTGTGTTTGATATCAGCAGGGAGTGATGAGCTCACAGCCAACAGCTCTGCTGCTGTAATGAAACAATCCAAACATCAGTCTGGCTAAAAGGTAAACATGATGTGAAAAACTGCTATTGGAGTTGTTTTTTGAAGTAAACAGTGAAAGTTAGCTGTCAGGTTAAATAAACACTAAATGAACACTACAGTTCTCTCCAGCAGAGGGCGCAGTTTGTCAAGATATTTAGCTCTGCTCTTCACTCTGCACGTCTTGTAAATCAGCTGCTTTACACACACTGCTGCCCACACAAAGACGCTGACTGGTTTTCATTTGGATCATGTCTTTCTGTTATATAATCTATTCAATTCAATTCAATTTTATTTATATATCGCCAAATCACAACAAAAGTCGCCTCAAGGCGCTTCATAGATTCATAATCTAAAATATGAAAAGCATCTAAACTGTCTTCATACGCCAGGCTGTAGAAACAGGATGTCAGGATTTCACGGAGCTCCTGCTACACCTCAAACTCACAAAATAAATTTATATTAAAAAAATCGATTCAGGATTTTAATGAATCGATTTTACGTTATCCAAGCCAGAATCGATTTTAATCGATAAATCGATTATAAAAACCCACCCCTAGGCAGAACGCCAGTCTGTTAGTTTTATGTCACCAGTTTAAATAGTTTCACTTGCTGTTTTCAGGGGGAGGGGCTAAAGACACCAAACAGGTAAAAAAAAGAAAGAAAGTTTGAGCCAGTACAAGGATCCAGTCCGCGCAGACCGCGTCATCAGAGTTACTGCTGAATAAAGTATTCATCATCTTTCCAGCACCAACACGCAGGTAAACTTCCATCGTTTGGTGAAATGATCTATGTCCCGTTTCTTCTTATTTATTGTTAATCTCGACAGAACCGAGTAAGTGCGTAGATTTGTCTGTGCGTGTCACTAAAGCAGCTACAGCCGCAGTAAAAGGAAACGGGAAGGGGGAAGCATGGGGGATGGGGATTCCCGTGATGGAAAAGAGGAAACATCAAAATAAGAGAGAGAGAGAAACGATTATTGTTTGCCCAAAGTGTAACCTGCCACCACTGAAGGTAATAGAATCACTTCCTTACATTCAGTTACTGCACTTTCAGAGATCTACCTATCTTGCCTTTTGCTGGGAGTTGGCAACCCTATTAGTTAGTAGATCTATTAAACAACCTAAGTTCTGTTTAGAATACCAGAATAGGGAGGATGTGGTAGGTTTAAGTTCATTAGATTGATACATCTCCAACAAGACAGTGTACATCACTCTGACAACGGCGTTTCTTTTCATTCAAAGGCTTTATGGCTTTTCCTGTAATACTCTGCACTTCTTGTAAATCAGCTGCTTTATACACACTGCTGCCCACACAAAGACGCTGACTGGTTTTCATTTGGATCATGTCTTTCTGTTATATAATCTATTCAGTTCAATTCAATTTTATTTATATATCGCCAAATCACAACAAAAGTCGCCTCAAGGCGCTTCATAGATTCATAATCTAAAATATGAAAAGCATCTAAACTGTCTTCATACGCCAGGGCGTAGAAACAGGATGTCAGGATTTCATCTAAGTCCTGTATCACCTCAGACTCACAAAATAATTACTCATATAGTTCCACTGTTGAGGGGAAACTCCTGTAAAACTGATGGAGGCAGAACTAGGGCTGGGTATCGTCACTGATTTCTAGAATAGATTAAATTCCGATTCACAAGGTACCGAATCGATTCGATTCAATTCGATTTGAATCTGGGAAATTTTGACAGTCAATAATATTATAATTCAGATCAGTACATTGACATATTTTTGTATCTATAAAAAGGAAGCTGACACACACAAGACTTTATCAAAGGTGTGAGCATCACAGCCGATGCCTTTGTGTCAAAGTAGCTGAAGATAAAACACAGAAACACATGAAGGTGATTTTCCTGGCCTGGATCTTTATGTATTAGGAGACCCTTCAGCTTTGAGTCACTTATCCACTTCTCTTGCTCATTGGGTACAAACGGCGATTATGCTGAGGAGGAAGCTGCTGGTGAAAGAGTGGAAGGCCTCATCGACTCCTACCTTATCTCAGTGGTATATCTCTTTGGGACAAGTGGCAGCTTACGAAAGATTATCATATAGACTGCTAAATAGACTGGACGACTATAATGATAAGTGGGCTAATTACGTTTTACATACATGTCAGTGACGTATCCGGCTAAAGTAGTTAAGTTCAGACTAAATAAGATAGCTGTAATCTGGTCTATGTGGAATGTTGGCATCACTTTTTTTTTTTTTGGGATGGAAATATGCATTGATGCTCAATTTGTTCTGTTGTTACTGGGAATGTCCATTCTGCTAGTTTTTGGGTGGTTTTTTTTTGGGGGGGGGGGGGGGGGGTCTGGGGTTTTTTTTGGGGGGGGGGGGGGTTTGTATATTAAAATCTAATAAAGTTTGAGTCATAAAAAAAAATTCTGCAGTACATCAAAAACGAAAGACAACCATTAATCAACACATGAATGTTACCTCTGAAGTTACAGCGGTTTTATTAGAGACACGGCTAAGCGTTTTGCATTTTGCATAATTTTAAAAAGTTTAAATTTGTTCAATATTGAACGGCAGAAATTAGGTTCTTTTTCCAGAAGTATGTAAAACGAAAAAAAAAAAAACGTCGGCCGACAGCGCTGTAAACAACGGTAGACTTGTGCGTAACAAGCAAGTGAATAATGCAGAAAACAGACAGGGAGAGAGAGAGAGAGAGAGAGCTGTGCATGAAGTGTGATTTTATCGTGGTGGAAGCAAAACAGCAAAAGTCAGAGGGAATTCATGACGATGTTTATGTGAAGCGTAGTTTGAGTAGTTAGTTGATCTTCTTTTGCAGCTGTCGGCTTCCAGCCCCGAGCGTCAGCTGAGAAAGGCGACATCTCACTGATCCTGATCCGTGGGTCTGCGCTGTGTGTTTACGCCTTTGTGCAGAAGCCGTGTTCCTCCTCTCATTTACTGTCTTAGCTGTTTGGTGGTTGTTGAAATTTTGTGATCTTTCACCTGAGATTCTGGCATTTCGGGCAAAATAAATTTATATTAAAAAAATCGATTCAGGATTTTAATGAATCGATTTTACGTTATCCAAGCCAGAATCGATTTTAATCGATAAATCGATTATAAAAACCCACCCCTAGGCAGAACGCCAGTCTGTTAGTTTTATGTCACCAGTTTAAACAGTTTCACTTGCTGTGTTCAGGGGGAGGGGCTAAAGACAACAAACAGGTAAAGAAAGAAAGTTTGAGCCAGCACAAGGATCCAGTCCGTGCAGACCGCGTCATCAGAATTACTGCTGAATAAAGTATTCATCATCTTTCCAGGACCAACACGCAGGTAAACTTCCATCGTTTGGTGAAATGATCTATGACCTGTTTCTTCTTATTTGTTCTTAATCTCGACAGAACCAAGTAAGTGAAACTTTCAAGATTATGTGATGATGCTGGATTTTTATAGTCTGTATTCAGAGATGAGAGTGCAGTGAATATAACAACTTTTCCTTTTATTTAAGAGTCCACATAGAGCCTTTATCTGCTTCAGTTAGAAAGGATCTGATGAACAATGGTACTTCTGCAGCAGCAGCGAGAAGAAACATGTGATATTTCACTACATATTGCCATCACAGGAGAATCTGGTTCTGGTAAATCGACATTTGTTAACGCTGTCAGAGGACTACGTAATGGAGATGAAGGGGCCGCTCCTACTGGTGCTGTAGAACGCTCAAAGGAACCTATACCATACTTCCATCCAGACTATCCCAATGTCACTTTATGGATCTTCCTGGTGTTGGCACCATGAAGTATCCGGCTCATAAATACTTGGAACTTGTTAAATTTGACAGGTTTGACTTCTTCATCATCGTCTCAGACACTGGTTGCAGAGAAAATGATGTGAAACTCGCTCAGGAGATTCAGAAGATGAAAAAAAGTGCTACTTTGTTCGCTCAAAGATTGACAACTTTATGCGTGATGAGAGAAGAAATGAAGACTTCAGTGCAGAGAGGAGTCTTAGAGAAATGAGGGAAAACTGTGTTCAAGGTGAGTTTCTGTTTTGTTAAGAAAACACTTTATTATCCGAAAGTTGGGACTTATTTACTTTAACTGTGAAAGATATGGTTTCTTTATATTTCTTTATCACACAGGTCTTCGAGACCAAGGCATCGTGTCTCCACAGGTCTTCCTGGTGTCCAGCTTTGAGCCAAACCTTTACGACTTCTCTCTCTTACAGCAGACCTTAGACAGAGACCTTCCTAAAAACAAGAGGGACACTCTGCTGTTCATCATGCCCAACATCAACCCAGAGATCATCATCAAGAAGAAAAAAGCTTTTCAGTCCAGAATAAAATACTGGGCTGGTTTGTCTGGAACTGTAGCAGCTGTTCCAGTTCCTGGACTTTCTGTTGCTGTTGATATTGGGTTGATGGTTAGAGTTGTCAAAGGTTATGTAACTGATTTCAGTATTGATAAGTCATCACTGGAAAAACTTGCTGAGAGAACAAATGTGCAGCATGCTGATCTTTGTGCTGTTGTCAGGTCACCACTGGCTGGAGTAGAAATAACTCCAGAGCTCCTCACGAGGGTGTTGACCCAACTAGCATGCGTAGCTGCATTTATGACAGCAGAAGAAAGTTTTAGATGGATTCCAGTAGTCGGACTTGTAGCATCAGCTGGTCTGTCTTTTGTTGTAATCTACAAAGCTCTGAATTCTTTCCTCAACACACTTGCCGATGATGCTCAGAGGGTTTTTGAAAAGGCTCTGGGTCTGAACTAGTAAGTAAATGATAATGTGATCCTGTGTTCAGTCTACAGCAGATCTCATTTTCTCTGGTCAAAGCAACAAGAACAGAGTAATTCTTCACAGCTTCATGCTCTCAAACTTTCCTCCTCATCTGTGCCACAGAGGGACTGGAAACCCCCAAGTACCCGAAGGGAGACACAGATGGGTGGTTGAGGACAACAGGGTTATATATAAGACCTCTAGTTCCAGCCCACTATATCAGAATTGTAAAGAAATCAAAATGGAAATCCAAACTAAAGGAATTGTAGACACGTTCCACCCTGTGGATCCTTCCTTTACTTTCTCTTTCTTTCTCCTTAAAATGACGATGCTGTAATTAGAAAACCTGCTACAGTGAGTGAAGCTACTTGTGTGAGAAGTTTTCTTGTGGTTTCTGTTAGTGTCCAAAATACTGTAATTTAGACTCTAATAAAACTCTAATGTTAAAGGTTATTTAACTGCTGTTTCTGTTTAATCATTTAATTTTTAATGTCATCTACTGACTATGATCATTTCAAATCCAGTAAACTGATAAAGGTAATAAATGTGTGAGAATAATTAAACAACCAATGGTGGTGGAGTGAATTTACAAACCATTCAGGAACAGAAGCAGTAAAACCATGAAAACACCTCCATACACACAAAACTGTATTACTGGAAAACTGGACATAAAGTGTCAAAAGTACAAATAAGTATTCTGTGAAAAAATGTTCCCCATCATTTCTTATGGCTTAATATTAGTTCTGCACATGCACAATGGCTGAATTAAAAGGCTTGTTAGCAGGATGTGACATGATTAACTGCCAATATCTAGACAACAGACATGACCAACTTCCTCGTTTCACTGTCACATGATCAGTAGTTACAGGCCAGGTGTGGCACTCTCTGGAATGGTTCCAACATGGAGAGCAGCACACCTGGAGGGAAAGGTGGAGCAGATTAGGTTCCAGATTAGAGCTCAACAGGTATGAAATCTGACCTTGGCCAGTTGATGAGCCGTTTTGGTGACAGCTTATCCTGATAGTCGATGTTGAGTGAATCCAGATTATTGAAAGAGATCCTGGCTTTATTTAACTCGCTCACAGAGCAGGTTTGCATTAAATATCATGTTTTCAGTTTGGTCTGAGATTGTTGGACACAAGGAGTCCTGAAGGGTGTGACTATGAAGTTCAACACAGCCACACGTCCTTTGTGTTAGCTGGCTCCCAACCAGGTATGTAACATTATTACTATGGTGATTTAGCCAGATGCAAAGAGAGACACTTTGGTGACACATTGTCAGGTCTGCAGCTTGAAATTATTAGGGAAAAATGTTAAATGGATGAAAAATATAAGAGATTGTGCTGCTGATTTTTGATGTGATGTAAACCAAATATTTGAGAAAGAATAACACATGAAAATGATCCTTCCTATCTTCATCACAGCTGTTGTGGCTGGCCTCAAAGAAATCAAAACAGATCGGATGGCTCCGGTTTGTACATCCTGATGGCCCCACCCCTCCCTGAGCCTGGTTCTGCTGGAGGTTTCTTCCTGTTAAAAGGGAGTTTTTCCTTCCCACTGTCGCCAAAGTGCTTGCTCATAGGGGGTCATATGATTGTTGGGTTTTTCTCTGTATGTTGTGATTTGGCGCTGTATAAATAAATTTGGATTGAATTGAATTGAATGTGCTGCGACCGGTTGATGAGGGAAAGAAGAGGGGATAAAAGACATGCTGTGGATGAGAGCCAGAGATTTATAACAAATATTTAGTTCAGAGAGGTCTATGACACATAGTGACTGAGGAAGAAACACTCAATGTGCAGATGAACAGCATCTGCTTTCTGCCAATTGCTAAGCATTAAGATTGAGCATGCGTCAACACGTCTCCGAACTCTACTGGTCCATTTGAAATCGAAACAATAATCAGCTATGTGACTGTCAACCTAAGGCTACCCAGGCACACAAATACCCACAACTCTTTTCATATTTCCCAGTTAAAATCTGTCCATTCCAGTCCTCTGACCATGCAGGTCTGAATCTGAACCCAGACAGATAGAAAACCAAACCCAGCTAAACAAACAGCCTCAGAGATGTGGAACCAGTTTTTTCTCACTCATCTTATTTGCGTGTTGTGTTTCCTGGTCTTTGGTCTCTGTGTTGTGTGGGAGAGCACACAGTTCCTACATTGTTTGCAAAGAAGATGTACTGAAGCACAGGTGTTTTCATAGAACAGTGGGTGTTGCTGCCTGAAAAAGCAGAACAGATCATGTTGCATGAACTAACATCCTCTTTAAAATATCAGTTGTCAACCGACTGCTTGTTAAACACAAAAGAACAAGTACTTACAGTATAGTATTAAAGTACATCTCACAGAATGACTGGAACAGTTTTCAGTACTCACAGTGAAGAAAGGTGATTAAAAGTATTTGTGTCTGACCTTTATTCCTTTACTCCTTTCCTGATCTTTGAGTTTTCTGGGTTTGAGTTAGGATGACAAAGGGAACTCCTGCCATCTTTGACATTGTTCCTTATTTAAAGCCATGTTGATGCCTCCTGTTAACTCTCAAGGAGTGTAGAACTTAGTGTTGAGTTTCAGTCAGTCTTTTTTCAATGATCTAAGCGCCCAAACGACTGTTATGGAAATTTTAACAACAACCTGCAAAAGCCTCGATGAGCATGATTTGAAGTGAGTGTAATAACATATTGCAATATGGAGAGACTGGTCAAACACCCAAGCAGTCTCTGACCATGTCTTCACATCTTATATACAGGCACAGACACTCTCAAGCAAAGAACATTCCACACATTTTAGCTCTGGGGGGGGGGGAAAAAAAACAACCTCATTCTCTAGGTACTTCCAGCACAATTGTGGCCTAGCAAAATCAATGAAATGTGATGAACCAAAAATCCTATTCAGGGTTTCAAACAAGGTTTCAGAGTCCAGTACACATGTCAAAGGAACTCACAGCTGTTGTTACTATGTTTACTCAGACAATGAGGATCTAATGCACTTACATCAGGAACTGAGATGCTAGAAAAGCAGTCTAGCTACCTACAAAATGTATACAAGTAACTGTAGTTGTAAACCTTGCATACTATAATTACTACAGTCACTTTTAATCAGGCCCAGGACTCTAAAAAGAGTTTGGATGTTTGCGCGTGTATCATTTGTAAAATGATTAGAAACGTCACACCAACGACCACCTTAACTTAAAACAGTGAACATTTTCAGGAAAACCTGCCTGACTTTAATCAGGTGTTATCTGTATTCCCTCACTGATCCCTCTTTTTGACACATGGTCTCTTCCTTGCATCAACTCACCAAAACTAGGAGAATAAAAAAATGACAAGGTTAGCGACATTGTCTCCCAGATAACTGAGTTCTCCTCTGTAGTAGCTTCGCTCCAGGTCTGTAAACCTGTGTGGAAATGAAATCAGTATGGTTTTCATGTTGAATCTGTTTAACTTCAGCCTCCACTTGGAGCCTGCATCCACACCACAGCTGCATGGAAACAAAATCTGTGAGTTAATATAAACTTCACATTTGAAAACAACTGAAGGTCACAAGATTAATAAGGCATCCAGCACTAAAGACACAAGTGTGCGATGTGCAGTTTATTTCCCCAGATCATTAGAACTCTACAGTTGCCATAATTTCCCAAATCATAGATCATCCCATGTGTTTTTTCACAACTACTGTAAACGGTGATTGTTCTTTAAGTAAGTCACTCACTTGTTTTCACTCTGAGCTCAACACTAAGGTTTCCTGCGATCACTGCACATCCTACTTTATTTTCACTCATGTCTGTATGGAGGCCTGCTTAAAAGAGAGCTAATTATTAAATCATCAACACAGAAAATACCATCACCGGAGGGATGACCCCTGACAGCTTTTCTCTAAGTGCACTGTTACAAAAATATTAGGCCCAGTTCCAGACATGTCCCAAGTATGAAAAACACTGTCCCTCTCTCAGAAGGAGAAAACAATCCAAACCTAACTGGCAGAATCAACCTAATTGTCGAGTCACAAATTTTAGAGACCAAGCACCGCTCAGGTTAGAAGGAGTTGATTTCTGTGTCCACATTCCAATTAAAAATCAAAAACAAAATGATCACAGCGAAGAGCAGAGTTCTGTGTTTATTGAAAGATCAAATTCAGCAAAAGATCAGAAGAAGCAAAAAGCTCCCCCGGGGTGTTCGCCGTAAGAACATTTAGATCAAAAACAAACAGACAAACAGCAGCCAAAAAGCTACCCAGGGCGCATCTGACCCATCTTTTTATCGGGTCAGTGACCCCTCCTCCTGCTTGATAGTTTTCCATTCCCTGTCCGTCTTAAATTCAAACTTTCAAGTTTTCCCTTAACTTTACAAATCTCAATATCACTCCCTTTATCAATGTAAAACGTTTGTCAGTACTTTGTCCTAATCAGTTATCCTACTTGCACTTTGTACCTTTTTTAATCTCCGTCGCTCAGGTTACATAACATTCTGGCACTACTCCAGGACTTTCTGGGCGCTGTTCTCACACGCTGTCGTCCATCATTTTTAATGGACTCCCTTTGACAGTTTTTGGCCAAAGTGAGTCCAAAAGCCCGCAAAATCGCAGATATCAAGCCAACTGCAGGGTAATAACAATCATTCCTCCTGACAACTTTCCCGGGTTTGGAGCCAGGAGTACTATATCCACTAAGGAAGGGTTTTCCCTGCCTTTGGGCAATTAAGGTAGCCCAGGAGCGTCCTCAGGTGTGCCCAGTCCGCCTGCTATATAGGCCAGTGCACTACGTTTGGCAGTGTAGGCTGGCAGCAATGTTCCCTCTAATGTTTCATGTGTCTGAGCGAACACACAAACTCCCTGAGCGTCCCTTGGACCACTGTGAGCAACAGCAGACGTGTGCACTGTGGTCACGCCAGCATCCAATCCATCCAACTTACATGGTTCATAAAAATAATCAAACTACAGCATTTATGTTAGACTACTTTTAATTAACTGCTTTAGCCCACTTACAATGAAAATTTAAAAAAAATCTTGTTCATGACCTGCAGTATGTTACCACTATTGGAAGGAAAAATAACTTGAACTCCAATTTTGAAAACACAACTTTCTTGTTTTTAAAAATAAAGCTCTGACTTGTATTATGAGTATGAGTCTCTGGTCTGGGAGAGAGTCTGTAACTCTGCAAAACAGAATTGTTAAGGTATTTATTTTAATTTCAATTCAA